CGGGTTGCATTGCTGTGAGAAGAAGTTGTGATGGGTCATGGACTTGTTGATGATGTCTCGAGCGGCTGTGGTGGATTTGATATATGATGTTATGTACAGCGCCCCCTTGGTGCTTGTAGTGTAGATTGAACAGCTGTCAGATGTGGTAGTCTCTTCGATTTCCGTGTTGACCTTCGTTGAGCTTGGCTGATAGTTCAAGGGTACCATCTAACTGGTTTGTAGGATATATTTGGTTGTATTTTTGCTATCCTTCACGGGGATTATTTCTACAAGTCAGGAATATATAGTGAAAGACTGATTGGTTATTTTGATGTGTATATTTGCAGTCTGAAACTTAAACTCTTTGGAGGATTTTTGGTGGTTACCGAACTCATTGTGCCAGGTGTAAGGATTTCCGAAAATCAGATTCATAAGAAACCAGAAGGCCCTTCGTCACTCATTAAGTCCCAGTAGGTCTTCCGTGCAGAGTACCGCACACGAAGAAACGTATAGGAAACCCCCTGGCCAGGAGTTTTTTTATTTCATATTCTCTGGTCTCCTTCAACGTCAGTAGTCACATTGCGGAAATCAACCTCTACAACAGTTATTGGATCAAATACGGGAACCAGAGTATCAGGATCACGGTTGGAACCAGAGTATCTCAAGATCATCGTTGGAACCAGAGTAGTCTCAGGATCACCATTGGAACCAGAATAGTCTCAGGATCACGGTTGGAACCAGAGTAGTCTCAGGATCACCGTTGGAAACAGAGTAGTCTCAGGATCACGGTTGGAACCAGAATAGTCTCAGGATCACGGTTGGAATCTCAGGATCACCGTTGGAACACGCAAGTATACTTGACATTTGAACATTATGTACCTATTTATTCCATTACTTTTCTGAATTCTGATCTATTTATAACCGAATATTCATTCGATTTGTGGTTGTGAAGCGAAAATTAAATGAATAATTCATGACATAGTATGCGCATGCGCCAGAGCTCTCGCGACGCTAACTTTTGCCTACCTTACTTGGTAAGTTTAATTTCTGCAGACTATTTAGCTTCATACGTTGAATGTGAAATGGCATTTCATTGACATACTATAGAGCAAACTTTGGGGTTTTTCTGACATGATTCCTGATATGCGTGGTCGGTGATTCATGATGTTCCTTATTTGCGTTATCGACTCACTGGTATTACTACATGCTTTTGATCATAACTGTATTGGGGTATTGACTTTGTGTAGGTTTTATCTGCCACGTATATACGTGCATATACGTTTATATCTATAATTGGTGTTACAGTCTAGTGGAAAATCATTGAATGTATGTATGTTTAATGTTTCGTGCATATATTTGGTGTTAAACGGAAAATCATTGAATTATTGTTTGTGTAATTTTATTGTGCATATACGTTTATATTGATGATTGTTGTTATAGTTCAGCAGAAAGTCATTGGATTAATGTTGTTTGATTTATGAAGACGTTGTCGTTGTTTTTTTATGGCCGTTATAAGATAGATAAGTTCTCATACCATTGTTTTTTTGAGACCATAGAATATATCATTTTGGGTATTTAATCTTTTATTTCAACATTTGGTTGGTAAATTAGGAATATTTGGATAATCCACTCCCGTCTTCACTGTTTAGCTTAACCGCAAATCCCCACCTGTGTGTTTTTGAAGGTCGCATTGTAAGTAAGTTCATCGTACTTTCTAAGTACGATGACGGGCACTTCATCAGTAACCAGACGTCTTGTTGATATTAAGCTGTTTCAAAATTCGCCTGATTAGATGTCGAAAAATAATTTCCGGCATTGTGGATTCTAGTATGTGAATAGAATTGTATTGTATTCGTTTTTTTTTTCAAAATCTATCTTTTTTTTTCAGAATGAATCTTCATCTAATTAGGATTCGTAATCGCCTACTGTCATACGATAGATATCGTAGAATAGTTTTATGTGCCAGTCCAACTAATAAAACTACCGTGTACCGACATCTGAAATGATATTTATTGTGAAAATTCTATAATTATCGTCATACAAAAAATCGAACATTTTCCCTGTAGATATAAAGAAAATAACTCATGATGATTTGTACTATAATGTATGAAAGGACAATAGTTTTTTCTGCGATTTTCGTTTGAACAATCCAGAGCTGATCATTTTAAACTCTCATATACTTCTGACGAGAATCATTCATCAGAATGAAAAACTTCAAGTATTGAAAGGTTTTAATTTTTTAGAATAAAATAAATTAACATCATTTTCATTTTATTTCAATTGAAATATCTTACAAGTTCACTTTCTGTACAAAATATTGTTGGCTAGTGTTATCAATAGTTGCCTTGAACACAATCCAGAAGTACACAGACTTCTACCTTTTATTCTTCCTTTTTGTCATTTCTCATCGTCATCAACTTCTGTAGATCAGATATAGGCATTTCAATAAGAAGAGTCGTGAAAAATGCTACTATGTAGGATGCTGCCACATCTCCACAAAAATGATATATCTGAAAATAATATTGCTGTAGAGATGAATTCGTTTGTTTCAATAAATCGATTGATGTAACCATTAGTATGTGGCACGAAATTATAAAGAAAAATGAGAAATGGAATTTTCTATGTTCTATGTATACTCATACAATATATACTTATACATTAATGTGTAAGTTTGAAAAATGTCCTTATAGTATGAAACTACAGTAACGTTGGTTGCAAATAACAGTGGTAGGATAGGTTAGGTTAGATCTAAAGTGAGTGGGTTATTCGACCCTCCACCGTAACCCGCAAGGCTTTATTGTGGCTCACACATATTCACACTCATCCAAATAAACCCAGCTTCTTAACGAAGCCTATTAGTTTGTAGGTGAGTGGTCTTTCAGGTCAGATGGTAAGAGTACGGCTCTGTCGAACTCTAAGAACCTGATTCGGTCCCCAGCGGGGCAGGCATAAAGTATATGATGTTTCATCATTTTCCAAACAGAGCCATCACACATTGTCTTCCTACAGTTCAAGTCTCTGCATATGATGATTCAAATGACAGTGACCTGTAAGAAGGCCTGTTAGACATCGTAGTTCATCCCTACTGTAGTCCAACAACTGGTTGGAAACAAGCTTCGAAGGGTGAATAAACGCCTTGGAGTGAGCCAATTCTGGAAGATTCTGCCAGAAGTCCATAAATCTTCTTGCCATCCAGTTGTTCAATGTTTACTTGGCCTAAAGCGATGCCTGTGACAGGTTCTGCTCCGACGAAGCTGCTTGCAGCACCCTCCTTTGCAAGGGAATCAGCAGCTTCATTGCCTTTCAGGCCAGTATGGCCAGGAATCCAGATCAGAGACAAACTGTTGAGTCTTTCTATCGAGGAGAGTCGTTTTTGGCAATTTGCTACCAATTTAGACGTTGCACGGTGGGAGCCAAGAGCTACCAACTCCGCTTGACTGTCCGAGAATATTTTCATTTACTTGTGTGTGAGGTTGGATTTATCCAATCTCTCCGCACACAATTTAAAAGCGTAAATTTTTGCTTGAAACACAGTCGCCAAAGTTCTTAGGCAGGTAGATATCTCTGTCCTGGATCTGCGACTAAAAGCACCTGCACCAGAACCGGAAGGTGTTTTTGATCAATCTGTGAACGAACAACTATCTGCTCTCAGTATCTCCTTCTCCCGGAAGATCCAGTCCTCTCTACTCCAGAATAGTACTTTATAAGGCAGTTCGTAGTTGACAGTTGGAGGCATGAAGTCAGAGGCCATTTCCAGAATGTTGTGATTTCCAGTGTCAACCAACAGTCTGTTGCACTCTGCATTGAATTGATTTGTGCAATTGGCAATGTGCACAAGTCTGCTCAGTCCATCTAGCCTCTATCTCCAGAAAAATGTAGAGAGTAGATAGATCTAGAAAAAGCCCCATGGCCGCTGATGGTGTGGTACTGATGGCACCACTGATAGCCAGACAAGCCTGCCTCTGTAAGCCAGAGAGCTTCACTTGGGCCATTTTCTGTTAACCCTTCGGCAACCCGGCAATTGCACCATAGGTAATCATTGGTCTGACAAACATCACATAAATCCAGTGGATTTGTTTGGGACCTAAAGCATAAGTTTTACCACAAATTCATCGACATATCCATAGAGACAGTCTGGCTTTGTGTAAAACTTTTTCCAAGTGAGCGGTCCGAATGGAATGACCTCACCATTGAGGGAAAGTGGCGTTAAAAAGTCTGAGTTTTTCCTCTTGGTGAAGGAGATTAACACAGTTTTGCTGGAATCGAAGGACATCTTCTCCCTCAGGCATCAACTTTTCTTCTGTCGAGGGCATCAAGCAGACTATCTATCAGGAGCGACCACAGAAGGAGAGATAGTACCCCACCTTGAGGGCAGTCTCTGGTGACCCTGAACCTATTGGCCTCGCCTTGAAGAGTCGTAATTGCAGTTCTATTTACTAGCATGCCATAGATCCAGCCAGTTATGGTCGATTCTATACCCTTCCTAGCCAGAAACAATCCTATAAATTTAGGTAGTGCATTATCAAATGTTCCTTCAATATCAAGAAATACAGCAACCACAGTAGCAAAAAACATAGAAAGTTCCATTTCTCATTTTTCGTTTGTTTCATGTCTTTGTGTCGAAAATTTAACATCAGTGTTTTTTATTTTTAATATGTATTTAATTCGTCTGATTATATCAGAATACAATAAAATATTTTCAACATGAAAAAACTCATTTTCGAGAAGAAAATAATTGAACTCGAAATGTTGGAAAGAAAATATTTTTTTGAGAAAAATGGATCCACTCATCTAACTCATCCTTCGTGAAACAATAATACTGGATTATCAAACCCGTTAATTGGGAAAAACAATTTCTGAGACCATTATTTTCTGTAGTCATATTATTTCATGAAAATGAGTGATTTCGTGATGAAACTGAAACTTGATGAAACTGAAAATGTTATTGATAGTTACCAGGTGAAGATCACTGAGATATATGGGAAATCTTGAACTAGCAGCCCTCGAAAATAGAATTGATAAGTGAATCAAGTAGGCACCATACGATAATCTTGCTAGAATTTGAGCTGGCGGCCACTCCATAACACTCTTAGTGATCCCTGAAAGTTAAAATTGAATCAGTCATAAGTTGCATCCTACAACCCTCATGAAACTTTTCATCTTGAATGAAAAGACATCTGAGCCCACTTCCGGGATATTGATGAGGAGGAAAAGGAAATGCACAAGGAATTCGCATATATTCGTAAAGAATCACACGTTGAAAGGTAAGACCTAGTTAGTTCTCAGCTCGCACAAGTTTCAACTTCTGAGGGTTGTCGTTCGTAGGGGTGCAATAGCTGGTTAACGGAAAAAAACATATTTTAAATTTTTTTTTTATTCATCCAATATGGATAGTGTGTGCCGAAACAAACGAATAACCCTGACACAAAAAATTAATGCGCATGCGCCAGTGGAAAGGCATCTTTTTTTATTACAGACTTATTACAAACAAATTATTATGGCGCTCTGAGAACGGTGCCTGTGAGAAAAGTAGTGATTCACATTGGATTTGATACGCTGGGGAAATGAATTCTTTCGATAAAACATTCCCAGGAAGTGTATTCCACATAAACGCAGTTCTCCAATTGTAAAAGTTCCTAAACAGTGGAATTCGAGGTATACTGAGTTGAACCTCGAAGCGATGAGCAGCCACAGTCCGTCGCGTATTCCTGATATGTACCGCTCTTGGTGGAACCAAATGTGCCAAGTCACTTGAACACTTCCCGTGAAAGTATCTATAAAATAAAGATAAATCTTCAACCTTTCTTCGATGTTCCAGACCATCAAGGTTGCAAGTGATATTCGTATCTCCAATCAGGTGAATGTTTCTTTTCTGGATGAAATCCAGTAGCTTCAGGGTATGCTTGGGGGGGGGCGGAGCTCCATGCATACAGAACTCCGTATTTAAGGAAAGAATAGATCGTTTGATAACATGCTGTTTTTAGTGCAGCTGTATTCAATTGACTTCTTCAAACTCTAATTGCAGAACATTTGTCATCTAGCTAGACCCCTAACATTCTTGTACATGATGAAAAATATAACTCTTTAGCGCCCATTTTCACAAACTCTAGAGCAATGGTGGAGGTATTAATTGTTCTGAAAACATTACATTTAGTTTTGACTGTTCAAAAAAGTTCATAATGAATAAAATATGTTGAGGATGAAGAGACAACATCCAATACGAGGTCCAGCTATTAACTAACAAGACTGGTTATGAAGAAGGGGTTTTACTATAAAAATTATTCTACATTCGAATGCTCCCCTTCAATAAACCTTCCTCTCCTTGCCACACACCTTCTCATACGTTTTTCACATCGATCGAAGCTGTGCTGGAAGTCTTCTTGAGGAGGGCCTTTAGGAGCCCTATCGTTTTAAGCTTCACCGCTTCCATCGACTCAAATTGGGTTCTTTCCAAAACAGATTTATCTTCGGGAACGAAAAAAAAGTAGCACGGTGCCAAATCTAGCGACTACGGCACGTGTCCGAGCACTGGAATGCGTTTATCGGCCAAATACCACTTCACAGAGAGCACGTTAGGGGCAGGTACGTTGTCCTGGTGCAAAATCCACAAGTTGTTCTTCCACAACTTGGGCCATTTCTTACGAACTCATTCTCGCAGTGTTTCCATAACTGACAAATAGTAAGTCTGGTTGACAGTTTGACCCTCTGGAACCCATTCAATCATCACGATACCGGTTATGTCGGTCAACATTGCCTTGAATTTTGATTTGGACATACTTGGTTGTCCCTTTTTTTCAACATCGTATTGAAAAATCCACGTTTCGTCGCAAGTAATAATGTTTTTGATCAGTCCTAGATCTTCTTCTAACCTCTCAAAGAAATCTGAGGAGACCTGTTGACGCAAGAGCTTTTGGTCAGTAGTCAGGTTTTTTTCAGCACCAACTTCGCACAGACTTTTGTCATGTGTAGTTCCTCGTGTAAAATATTTCTAATCATTTCTTTATCGGCGTTTACAGCCTCGACAATCATCCGGATGCTCATTCGACGATCTGGACGCACAGTTTAGTTGATTATGGTTACTGTTTCCGAAGTTTAAACAGTGACAGGGCAACCTGGGCGCTGGTCTTCTTCAGTGCTCTCTTGGCCCTCACTGTAGCGAAAAACACGCACACGAGATAGTGAATTGTCCCCTTGTAACAATTTATAGCACTCAGTCGATTTTTTTTCTATTTAACAAGAAATTTGAGAATGATTCGTTCTCCTATTTTTTGTCACACATGGTTTTCGGCACGAGAAAAAAACACGTTCGTTTCAAACCGCTACTGCACAAATACTATAATATTGACGAAAACGTGTTTTGGTACGTAAATAGAGAAGATTTTCAGATACCTAACGCACTACTGATTTTTTTTCTCTGACCCTCTAGGGCGCCCTCTAGACGTGCAGTCTCGTTATTTAATAGTCGGGCCTCGTATGTTACTTTCAAAATTCATACGGCAGCCGAGAGGTGAGACGAGATGGGAATCATCAGCTGGTGTTTTCAAAAATATCAGAAAACTGTTTACATGAATAATGAACAACGAAAGACCTAGCACACTTTCTTGTGTAACATCTTCATGAATCTCAGCTATATCAGAGTAAAAAAAAAATTCTGCCTGAATAATACACATTTTTTTGTTTTCTGTTGCTAAGATACGTTTTCGTGAGATCTAAGACTCAACCTCTGATTCCATGATGAGACAGCTCTTGTACTGAAACAGAATGGGCCACATGAGCTTTACTCAGATCCAGAAAAATACCACAAGTATTCGAGTCTTGTTCTAGTTAAGAATGATCTTTGTTTATGACATCAAACAGTTCTGTTTCTGTATTTTTTCCTTTGAGAAAACCGTGTTGGAAATCATTGAACATTTAAAAAATTCATAATTCTAGTTGATATGATCAAATCGAATAACTTAGAGAAAGCCGTCGATAAATTTTTTGGCCTATATTTACCCGTATCTGTTCTTTTTTTTTATGAAGTGGTTACATTATTGCCAGCTTCATTTGATCTGGAAATACGTGTAGTATTCCTGACTCTAACGTGAACAAATATCAAAAATATGACAGAGTACGGTAGAAAGTAGTTGAATAATTTAGGGGGAAAATTATCAGTACTACTACTCAGTTTGTTTTTAAGTTTTCTACTTGCATGAATAATTTCTTCTTCATTGATTGGATATGAAAGTATTGAATTTTGACACCTAGTTGATGTGATGTGAACCCAAATACAAGATTTTTCTTTGCTGACAAGAGGCGAAGAATTCAGAAAGTGAGTATTGAAGCTGTTTGCTAGATCTACATAATACAAGGCAAAACATTTTCATTTTTTCAATGTTCCTAGTGGTTTTATTATCGCTATTTTGTGATGAATCAATGAAGTATTCATTTTCAGTTTTGTTCAGAAGTAGTCTATATACTTCTCTTCATTCTTCTTTGGGCATTCACTTATTTTGTTTGAATGTTCTGTTATTTATTTCTCTCATTTCCCTGCTCTAGAAAAAAACACTGCATGTAGAATAAAATCGTGAATATTTTTGTTCTGAAATAATCTTTAATAGGTATATGAAATTATTATCATTTTTTACCATTAGACTGTAAATGTTAATGAATTGAGCAAGATATTCATACACTTTTAGATTGAGAGATACTCGGAAATAGGGCAAATTTCTGAAAACCACTAGTTTTAACAAAAATTGTTGAAAGTGAAGAATAACAACAGAAAACAAGAAACGAAAAAGTTGGAACTGAACTGAAGCTGTGTTTTTGGTGACGAAAAGAATGACTTTCTACTGCACAGAATGAAGATTTTTCGGAATGGAAATTTCTTAATATACAGTGCCTCATACTTTTTCAGTTACCATTCGTAGGGTGAGATTAGGCCAATGTTAAAATAGGTTTACAGAAAACTTTCATCAGATTACTTCAATAAAATGCCCACATCTGACATGAGTTCTCCTAAAAGAATCATTTGAGCATTCATCTTCATAGCCACATTTATATAGAGATTGATATGTATGTAACTGATGTAAACGACTACTATTTTACTTATGATGTACTGTTTGGAACCTTTGGTGTAGTAATGAATATTACTTGAATTTTTCCCCAACACCAAATCGTTATTTTTAACACCTCGACACGTGTTTCGATCACCAAGTATTCATCTTCAAAGAGGAGTTTAATCTTCCTCAAGTTGAATAAAACGAAACCAATAGTTTTGTATGAATACTGAATTATTAAAAAACTTTTCTCTATTCAGTAGAAAACCAAAACCTTACTTTTCCAAGAATTAATCTCTCCTGAAATATTTCCCTTTTTATAGCATATTTCAGGTGAAATATGCTATACCACCACCATAATGGTACCCTTCGCAGACTCCAAATATGCTATCAGAGAGAAGAATGGTCCGCAATGAAGACAACACAAGGCATTCTTAAAACCAAACAGTGAAATGGTTAGTTGGAATCTGGAAATTCATGTTAACAGTGAAAAGAAATAGGTCGATGTTAAAGACACAAATGAGAAAATCGTTATGAAGAACTTCAGCCAAATTTGATCGACACAAAAATGTGGAACTTGTGCTGGAATTCTGACTCTTACATTTGAAAAGACATTGAGAAGAAGAGAAGAGAGAATACTATTTCGATCTGGAAACTTTTTGATTAACCTAGTTTTTAACAATCACCAAACCGTTATTTTAACACCTCGACACGTGTTTTGATCACCAAATGATCACCAAATGATCACCAAACTTCCTCTTGAAGTTTAATCCTCCTCTTGAAGATGATCAAAAGTTTGGTGTTAGGAACAAACTCCAGTAATATTCATTACTACACCAAATGTTCCAAATAGTGCATCACAAACCACATCATGATAGCATTATTAAAGCGATATTTCATATTTTTCATGGACTTTTTATTCGAAATGACTCAATGAAAGTGTTCAATTACTCACACCCCAATCCGAATACTGCCCCAAATATAGAAAAACCAATGCCAAATATAAAAATCGGTCGCCCAAATGCTGTGTACATAGAAGCCCAAAATACATCGTGTTCCGTCTCCTTGTCCAGCATGATCACTCCTGGAATAATAACGGTACCAAGACCCAATCCATATAACATTAGATGATAGATAATCTGATTAGTAACCTAAAAAAATACTGAATCAGTATATGAATCAATAATCAGGTATGTCAAAATGATTTTGATATAAGATAGATAAAGATCAAATTATGTGTGTCTCGAAATGCCAGTGAATTGAAAATTCAAGAATGAACAGGGGTTGTTGAACCCGTGAGCGATTTTCGTTTGTATACAGGGTGTAACTAAATAAGTCTAAAACATTTAAGGAAGTGATTCCTCATCAAAAAGATAGGATCTTATATATAAAGAAATTTCATTAGAGCATCCCTTGTTAAGATACAGCCCCTTAAAGGGGGTACATGAAATTTGTATAACAATTTTTTTCACAAGCACTAAGAAAGTTACAATATTGAAATCAACCTGACGTTTTGTACTACCAAAAAGACACTCAGCCAGAAATTTATTTAGTTTACCCCATGGTTGTAAGGGGTGGAAAACGCAACCCCTAAAATTTATTTCCAATGTAACTTTTTGTCTTATTATTTGTTTACCATTTAAAAATTTA